GTGTAATATACACTCCTGATCCCTGTGCCCTGTGTATGATACACTCCTGAGCCCTGCGCCCTGTGCAATATACACTCCTGAACCCTGCGCCCTGTGTATGATACACTCCTGAGCCCTGCGCCCTGTGTATTATACACTCCTGATCCCTGCGCCCTGTGTATGATACACTCCTGAGCCCTGCGCCCTGTGCATTATGCACTCCTGAGCCCTGCGCCCTGTGTGTATGATACACTCCTGAGCCCTGCGCCCTGTGCATTATGCACTCCTGAGCCCTGCGCCCTGTGTATGATACACTCCTGAGCCCTGCGCCCTGTGCATTATACACTCCTGAGCCCTGCGCCCTGTGCATTATACACTCCTGGTCCCTGCGCCCTGTGTATGATACACTCCTGAACCCTGCACCCTGTGCATTATACACTCCTGAGCCCTGCACCCTGTGTATTATACATTCCTGAGCCCTGCACCCTGTGTATTATACACTCCTGAGCCCTGTGTATTATACACTCCTGAGCCCTGCACCCTGTGTATTATACACTCCTGAGCCCTGCACCCTGTGTATGATACACTCCTGAGTCCTGCACCCTGTGTATGATGCACTCCTGAGTCCTGCACCCTGTGTATTATACAATCCTGAACCCTGCACCCTGTGCATTATACACTCCTGAGCCCTGCACCCTGTGTATTATACACTCCTGAGCCCTGCACCCTGTGTATTATACACTCCTGAGCCCTGCACCCTGTGTATTATACACTCCTGAGCCCTGTGTATGATACACTCCTGAGCCCTGCACCCTGTGTATTATACACTCCTGAACCCTGCACCCTGTGTATGATACACTCCTGAGCCCTGCACCCTGTGCATTATACACTCCTGAGCCCTGCACCCTGTGTATTATACACTCCTGAGCCCTGCACCCTGTGTATTATACACTCCTGAGCACTGTGTATTATACACTCCTGAGCCCTGCACCCTGTGTATTATACACTCCTGAACCCTGCACCCTGTGTATGATACACTCCTGAGCCCTGCACCCTGTGCATTATACACTCCTGAACCGTGCGCCCTGTGTATGATACACTCCTGAGCCCTGCGCCCTGTGCATTATACACTCCTGAACCCTGCACCCTGTGTATGATACACTCCTGAACCCTGCACCCTGTGCATTATACACTAATGATCCCTGCACCCTGTGCATTATACACTCCTGAGCCCCTGCGCCCTGTGCATTATACACTCCTGAGCCCTGCACCCTGTGTATGATACACTCCTGAACCCTACACCCTGTGCATTATACACTCCTGAACCCTGCACCCTGTGTATGATACACTCCTGAGCCCTGCACCCTGTGTATTATACACTCCTGATCCCTGCACCCTGTGTATTATACACTCCTGATCCCTGCACCCTGTGTATGATACACTCCTGAGCCCTGCACCCTGTGTATTATACACTCCTGATCCCTGCACCCCTGTGTATTATACACTCCTGAGCCCTGCACCCTGTGTATTATACACTCCTGATCCCTGCACCCTGTGTATGATACACTCCTGATCCCTGCACCCTGTGTATTATACACTCCTGAGCCCTGCACCCTGTGTATGATACACTCCTGAGCCCTGCACCCTGTGCATTATACACTCCTGAGCCCTGCACCCTGTGCATTATACACTCCTGAACCCTGCACCCTGTGTATTATACACTCCTGAACCCTGCACCCTGTGTATGATACACTCCTGAGCCCTGCACCCTGTGTATTATACACTCCTGATCCCTGCACCCTGTGTATTATACACTCCTGATCCCTGCACCCTGTGTATGATACACTCCTGAGCCCTGCACCCTGTGTATTATACACTCCTGATCCCTGCACCCTGTGTATTATACACTCCTGAGCCCTGCACCCTGTGTATTATACACTCCTGATCCCTGCACCCTGTGTATGATACACTCCTGATCCCTGCACCCTGTGTATTATACACTCCTGAGCCCTGCACCCTGTGTATGATACACTCCTGAACCCTGCACCCTGTGTATGATACACTCCTGAGCCCTGCACCCTGTGTATTATACACTCCTGAGCCCTGCACCCTGTGTATTATACACTCCTGAGCCCTGCACCCTGTGTATGATACACTCCTGAGCCCTGCACCCTGTGTATTATACACTCCTGAGCCCTGCACCCTGTGTATGAGAAACTCATGAGCCCTGCTGCACCCTGTGCATTCTACACTCCTCACCGTCCTGTCCGCGTGTCTGTCCTTCTACACGGCTCACCGTCCAGACCGCGTGTCTGTTCTTCTACACGCCTCACCGTCCTTTCCACGTGTTTGTCCTTCTACATGCCTCACTGCCTTGTCCGCGTGTCTGTCCTTCTACACGCCTCCCCATCCTGTCCGCGTGTTATCTTTCTACACATCTCACCTTCCTGTCCGCGTGTCTTTCCTTCTACACGCCTCACCTCCCTCTCCACGCGTCTGTCCTTCTACATGCCTCACCATCCTGTCCGTGTGTCTTTCCTTCTACACACCTCACCGCCCTGTCCGCGTGTCTGTCCTTCTACACGCCTCACCTACCTCTCCACGTGTCTGTCCTTCTACATGCCTTACCATCCTGTCCGTGTGTCTGTCCTTCTACACGCCTCACCGCCCTGTCCGCGTTTCTGTCCCTCTACACCCCTCACCATCCTGTCTGCATGTCTTTTCTTCTACACGCCTCACCATCCTGTCTGTGTGTTTGTCCTTCTACATGCTTCACCACAGTGTCTGCGTGTTGTCCTTCTACACGCCTCATCTTCCTGTCCACGTGTCTGTCCTTCTACATGCCTCACCATCCTGTCCGCGCGTCTGTCCTTCTACACGCCTCACCGCCCTGTCCGCGCGTCTCTGTCCTTCCACACACCTCAACATCGTGTCCTTGTGTCTGTCCTTCTACACGCCTCAACGTCCTGTCCGCGTGTCTGTCCTTCTACACGCCTCACCGTCCCGTTCGCTCGTCTGTCCTTCTACACGCCTCACTGCGCTTTCCGCGTGTCTGTCCTTCTACACACCTCAACGTCCTGTCCGCCTGTCTGTCATTCTACACACCTCACCGTCCTGTCCGCGTGTCTGTCCTTCTACACGCCTCACCGTCCCATTCGCTCATCTGTCCTTCTACACGCCTCACTGCGCTTTCCGCGTGTCTGTCATTCTACACACCTCACCGTCCTGTCCGCACGTCTGTCCTTCTACACACCTCACCATCCTGTCCGCATGTTGTCTTTCTACACATCTCACCTTCCTGTCCGCGTGTCTGTCCTTCTACACGCCTCACCTCCCTCTCCACGTGTCTGTCCTTCTACATGCCTCACCATCCTGTCCGTGTGTCTGTCCTTCTACACGCCTCACCGCCCTGTCCGCGCGTCTGTCCTTCTACACTCCTCACCATCCTGTCCACGTGTCTGTCCTTCTACACCCCTCACCATCCTGTCCACGTGTCTGTCCTTCTACACTCCTCACCATCCTGTCTGCGTGTTTTGTCCTTCTACACGCTTCACCACCCTGTCCGCGTGTTGTCCTTCTGCACGCCTCACCTTCCTGTCCACGTGTCTGTCCTTCTACATGCCTCACCATCCTGTCCGCGCGTCTGTCCTTCTACACAACTCACCGCCCTGTCCGCGAGTCTGTCCTTCTACACGCCTCACTACGCTTTCTGTGCGTCTGTCCTTCTACACACCTCAACGTCCTGTCCTCGGGGGGTGTCTGTCCTTCTACACGCCTCACCGTCCCATTCGCTCAATTATCCTTCTACACACCTCACTGCGCTTTCCGCGTGTCTGTCCTTCTACACGCCTCACCGTCCTGTCCGTGTGTCTGTCCTTTTACACGCCTCACCGTCCTGTCCGCGTGTCTGTCCTTCTACACGCCTCAACGTCCTGTCCACGTGTCTGTCCTTCTACACACCTCAACGTCCTGTCCACGTGTCTGTCCTTCTACACGCCTCAACGTCCTGTCCACGTGTCTGTCCTTCTACACGCCTCAACGTCCTGTCCACGTGTCTGGCCTTCTACATACCTCAACGTCCTGTCCGCGTGTCTGTCCATCTACACGCCTCACCGTCCTGTCCGCGTGTCTGTCCTTCTACACGCCTCAACGTCCTGTCCACGTGTCTGTCCTTCTACACGCCTCAACGTCCTGTCCACGTGTCTGTCCTTCTACACGCCTCAACGTCCTGTCCACGTGTCTGTCCTTCTACACACCTCAACGTCCTGTCCGCGTGTCTGTCCTTCTACACGCCTCAACGTCCTGTCCGTGTGTCTGTCCATCTACACGCCTCAACGTCCTGTCCACGTGTCTGGCCTTCTACACACCTCAACGTCCTGTCCGCGTGTCTGTCCATCTACACGCCTCACCGTCCTGTCCGCGTGTCTGTCCTTCTACACGCCTCAACGTCCTGTCCACGTGTCTGTCCTTCTACACGCCTCAACGTCCTGTCCACGTGTCTGTCCTTCTACACGCCTCAACGTCCTGTCCACGTGTCTGTCCTTCTACACGCCTCAACGTCCTGTCCACGTGTCTGTCCTTCTACACGCCTCAACGTCCTGTCCACGTGTCTGTCCTTCTACACGCCTCAACGTCCTGTCCGCGTGTCTGTCCTTCTACACGCCTCACCGTCCCGTTCGCTCGTCTGTCCTTCTACACGCCTCACCGTCCTGTCCGCGTGTCTGTCCTCCTACACGCCGATCTTCCTGTGTATGCATGTCTGACAATACCTAATGATATGTCTGCTGTAGAACCACGCCCACTTTACATGAATACCCCGCCCCTAATTAAAGCAGATATTGCCTGCAGTGGCTTGCTGGACACACAGGAGAAGCGTCTCTGGAAATATCGGCAACAATGTTACTGCGAACATTCTGTACTCCTCCCTCCGATCTCCTCCGACCAGCCGGGAAACCCCAGATATTATATGATCCTCGCCCCTCCCCCTCCTCCTCCTCCTCCTCGGCTCTCTTCCGTGTAGAAAGCATTTTCCACCTTCTCCAGGGATCGATCGATTCCTCCAGGATTTATATTCTGCACTCAGTTCCTCGACTGTATATACAGTAAGTCCCTCTATTCTGATTACTTCTCGATTATTGTATCAGTCAGAACAATCCAATACAATGTTACTTTGTATTCATCTCCCATCTGATCGATGTTTATAAACAATGTTACTTTGTATCTCTATCTCCCATCTGATCGATGTTTATAAACAATGTTACTTTGTATCTCTCCATCTCCCGTCTGATCGATGTTTATAAACAATGTTACTTTGTATCTCTCCGTCTCCCGTCTGATCGATGTTTATAAACAATGTTACTTTGTATCTCTCTATCTCCCATCTGATCGATGTTTATATAAACAATGTTACTTTGTATCTCTATCTCCCGTCTGATCGATGTTTATAAACAATGTTACTTTGTATCTCTCCGTCTCCCGTCTGATCGATGATTATAAACAATGTTACTTTGTATCTCTCTATCTCCCATCTGATCGATGTTTATAAACAATGTTACTTTGTATCTCTATCTCCCGTCTGATCGATGTTTATAAACAATGTTACTTTGTATCTCCATCTCCCGTCTGATCGATGTTTATAAACAATGTTACTTTGTATCTCTATCTCCCGTCTGATCAATGTTTAAAAAACAATGTTACTTTGTATCTCTCCGTCTCCCGTCTGATCGATGTTTATAAACAATGTTACTTTGTATCTCTCTATCTCCCGTCTGATCGATGTTTATAAACAATGTTACTTTGTATCTCTCTATCTCCCGTCTGATCAATGTTTAAAAACAATGTTACTTTGTATCTCTCCATCTCCCGTCTGATCAATGTTTATAAACAATGTTACTTTGTATCTCTCCGTCTCCCGTCTGATCGATGTTTATAAACAATGTTACTTTGTATCTCTATCTCCCGTCTGATCGATGTTTATAAACAATGTTACTTTGTATCTCTATCTCCCGTCTGATCGATGTTTATAAACAATGTTACTTTGTATCTCTCTATCTTCCATCTGATCAATGTTTATAAACAATGTTACTTTGTATCTCTCTATCCCCCGTCTGATCGATGTTTATAAACAATGTTACTTTGTATCTCTCTATCTCCCGTCTGATCGATGTTTATAAACAATGTTACTTTGTATCTCTCTATCTCCCGTCTGATCGATGTTTATAAACAATGTTACTTTGTATCTCTCTATCTCCCGTCTGATCGATGTGTATAAACAATGTTACTTTGTATCTCTATCTCCCGTCTGATTGATGTTTATAAACAATGTTACTTTGTATCTCTTCATCTCCTGTCTGATCGATGTTTATAAACAATGTTACTTTGTATCTATCTCCCGTCTGATCGATGTTTATAAACAATGTTACTTTGTATCTATCTCCCGTCTGATCGATGTGAATAAACAATGTTACTTTGTATCTCTCCATTTCCTGTCTGATCGATGTTTATAAACAATGTTACTTTGTATCTATCTCCCGTCTGATCGATGTTTATAAACAATGTTACTTTGTATCTCTCCATCTCCCGTCTGATCGATGTTTATAAACAATGTTACTTTGTATCTCTCTATCTCCCGTCTGATCGATGTTTATAAACAATGTTACTTTGTATCTCTCCATCTCCCGTCTGATCGATGTTTATAAACAATGTTACTTTGTATCTCTCTATCTCCCGTCTGATCGATGTTTATAAACAATGTTACTTTGTATCTCTCCATCTCCCGTCTGATCGATGTTTATAAACAATGTTACTTTGTATCTCTCCATCTCCCGTCTGATCAATGTTTATAAACAATGTTACTTTGTATCTCTCCATCTCCCGTCTGATCGATGTTTATAAACAATGTTACTTTGTATCTCTCTATCTCCCGTCTGATCGAGGTTTATAAACAATGTTACTTTGTATCTCTCCATCTCCCGTCTGATCGATGTTTATAAACAATGTTACTTTGTATCTCTCCATCTCCCGTCTGATCGATGTTTATAAACAATGTTACTTTGTATCTCTATCTCCCGTCTGATCGATGTTTATAAACAATGTTACTTTGTATCTCTCTATCTCCCGTCTGATCGATGTTTATAAACAATGTTACTTTGTATCTCTCTATCTCCCGTCTGATCGATGTTTATAAACAATGTTACTTTGTATCTCTCCATCTTCCGTCTGATCAATGTTTATAAACAATATTACTTTGTATCTCTATCTCCCGTCTGATCGATGTTTATAAACAATGTTACTTTGTATCTCTCTATCTCCCGTCTGATCGATGTTTATAAACAATGTTACTTTGTATCTCTCCATCTCCAGTCTGATCGATGTTTATAAACAATGTTACTTTGTATCTCTCCATCTCCAGTCTGATCGATGTTTATAAACAATGTTACTTTGTATCTCTTTATCTCCCATCTGATCGATGTTTATAAACAATGTTACTTTGTATCGCTCTATCTCCCGTCTGATCGATGTTTATAAACAATGTTACTTTGTATCGCTCTATCTCCCGTCTGATCGATGTTTATAAACAATGTTACTTTGTATCTCTCTATCTCCCGTCTGATCGATGTTTATAAACAATGTTACTTTGTATCTCTATCTCCCGTCTGATCGATGTTTATAAACAATGTTACTTTGTATCTCTCTATCTCCCGTCTGATCGATGTTTATAAACAATGTTACTTTGTATCTCTATCTCCCGTCTGAACATTGTTTATAAACAATGTTACTTTGTATCTCTCAATCTCCCGTCTGATCGATGTTTATAAACAATGTTACTTTGTATCTCTCCATCTCCCGTCTGATCGATGTTTATAAACAATGTTACTTTGTATCTCTCTAACTCCCGTCTGATCGATGTTTATAAACAAAGTTACTTTGTATCTCTCTATCTCCCGTCTGATCGATGTTTATAAACAATGTTACTTTGTATCGCTCCATCTCGCGTCTGATCGATGTTTATAAACAATGTTACTTTGTATCTCTCTATCACCCGTCTGATCGATGTTTATAAACAATGTTACTTTGTATCTCTATCTCCCATCTGATCGATGTTTATAAACAATGTTACTTTGTATCTATCTCCGGTCTGATCGATGTTTATAAACAATGTTACTTTGTATCTCTCTATCTCCCATCTGATCGATGTTTATAAACAATGTTACTTTGTATCTCTTTATCTCCCGTCTGATCGATGTTTATAAACAATGTTACTTTGTATCTCTTTATCTCCCGTCTGATCGATGTTTATAAACAATGTTACATTGTATCTCTCCATCTCCCGTCTGATCGATGTTTATAAACAATGTTACTTTGTATCTCTTTATCTCCCGTCTGATCGATGTTTATAAACAATGTTACTTTGTATCTCTTTATCTCCTGTCTGATCGATGTTTTATAAACAATGTTACTTTGTATCCCTCTATCTCCCGTCTGATCGATGTTTATAAACAATGTTACTTTGTATCTCTCTATCTCCCGTCTGATAGATGATTATAAACAATGTTACTTTGTATCTCTTTATCTCCCGTCTGATCGATGTTTATAAACAATGTTACTTTGTATCTCCCGTCTGATCAATGTTTATAAACAATGTTACTTTGTATCTCTCTATCTCCCGTCTGATCGATGTTTATAAACAATGTTACTTTGTATCTCTCTATCTCCCGTCTGATCGATGTTTATAAACAATGTTACTTTGTATCTCTCTATCTCCCGTCTGATCGATGTTTATAAACAATGTTACTTTGTATCTCTCTATCTCCCGTCTGATCGATGTTTATAAACAATGTTACTTTGTATCTCTCTATCTCCCGTCTGATCGATGTTTATAAACAATGTTACTTTGTATCTCTCTATCTCCCGTCTGATCGATGTTTATAAACACTGTGTCAGACATTATTTTCTGCCAGCAGCACATTCTCCAGCTCCTGTATTAGTATAACAACTACCTGCAGTCTAGAAATGTTGGTGACTGGAAGGGGGGAGAGCGGAGGGACAGAAGGACAAGGCATGAATCGCATGTACTGTGAAGTGTTGTCGGTGTGAGCGGTACGTCCACAACGGGTGAAGTGATGATCTGTCCCGTGACGTGTGCAGTTCTTGGTACATAAGGCACATACTACTGATCACAATATGTAGCAATATAGCTGGAAACTCATTTCTGCATCACAATGTCTTCATTGGCACACAGCAGAAGATATAAAACTCCATGTGACCCAGGGGCGGACTGACCATTTGGAAACTCGGGCACTGCCCGAGGGCCCGGGGTCAGTAGGGGGCCCCATGAGATGCCCCTGGTACCTTTTTCATAGGCTTTTTTGAGTTTGGGCAAGGACACAGGGGCCCCATGATCCCCTATTGTCCGGGGGCCCCATGAGTTGTCAGTCCACCCCTGATGTGACCGTCGCGTTTCGGCCACAGCCCTTCTCCAAGCTTTCAGATTTGTCAGATCTCATGGGTTTTATATCTTCTCCTGTGTGCCAATGAAGACATTTTCATGAAGAAATGAGTTGCTGGCTATATTGCTACATATTGTGGATTGAAATGTCAGCCTGAGCACCAGCCCCACCCCCTCCCCCACTCACATTTATGTTTGGGTGAGTTTTCCTTGTATACTGCTGACCAGTCTCTGGTGGTCCAGAGGCGTTACCCGGGATCGTATATTATCCAGTCCCTGATAATCAAAGAAATATGTAAAGTCTAGTTCCTGATTCCTGGTGCCCCCAGATATGAGCACTGCCCACTTCATGGTGCCCCCAGATATGAGCACTGCCCACTTCATGGTTCCTGGTACCTCCAGATATGAGCACTGCCCACTTCATGGTGCCCCCAGATATGAGCACTGCCCACTTCATGGTTCCTGGTGCCCCCAGATATGAGCACTGCCCAGTTCATGGTGCCCCCAGATATGACCACTGCCCACTTCATGGTTCCTGGTGCCCCCAGACATGAGCACTGCCCAGTTCCTGGTGCCCCCAGATATCAGCACTGCCCAGTTCCTGGTGCCCCCAAATATGAGCACTGCCCAGTTCCTGGTGCCCCCAGATATGAACACGGCCCAGTTTCTGGTGCCCCCAGATATGAGCACTGCCCAGTTCCTGGTGCCCCCAGATATGACCACTGCCCAGTTCCTGGTGCCCCCAGATATGACCACTGCCCACTTCATGTTTCCTGGTGCCTCAGATATGAGCACTGCCCAGTTCCTGGTGCCCCCAGATATGAGCACTGCCCAGTTCCTGGTGCCCCCAGATATGACCACTGCCCAGTTCCCTGTTCCTGGTGCCCCCAGACATGAGCACTGCCCAGTTCCTGGTGCCCCCAGATATGAGCACTGCCCAGTTTCTGGTGCCCCCAGATATGTGTGCTACCCAGTTCCCTGTTCCTGGTGCCCCCAGACATGAGCACTGCCCAGTTCCTGGTGCCCCTAGATATGAGTACTGCCCAGTTCCTGGCGCCCCCAGATATGAGCACTGCCCAGTTCCTGGTGCCCCCAGATATGAGCACTGCCCAGTTCCTGGTGCCCCCAGATAGGAGCACTGCCAAGTTCCTTGTTTCTGGTGCCCCCAGATATGAGCAATGCCCACTACATGGTTCCTGGGGCCCCCAGATATGAGTGCTGCCCACTTCATGGTGACTGTGGAGTATCTGGTGTTGTCTACCCTAATTAATACCAAGATTTGGATATTGCCAAGCCCACAGTCCTCCATTTTCAAAGATGTTGGCCAGTTCTTCCTGCATTAACATTTGTAGTTTTTGCCCAGTCTTTGGTTGATAAGGGTCATAAACTTGGCCAAGTCTCTGCTGTCCACAGATATGTGTTGCCCAGCCCATGGTCCTCCATTGTCACAGACATTGCCCAGTCCCTGGGGCCATCACATCACATGCTTGATGAAGGGGTCCTGAAAGACTCTGAAACGTTACTTTGCTGTAAACCTTCATTAAAGCCTTTTTGGACCCATGTTGGAGATCCTTGGTGTGTGGTTTACATTTCTTTTAGTCCCTGGAGCTATCATGTTACATGCCTGATGAAGGGGTCCTGAAAGACTCTGAAACATTGCCTTGCTGTAAATCATCATTAAAGCCTTTTTGGACCCGTATTGGAGATCCTTGCTGTGCTGGTGACATTTCTGTCAGTCCCTGGGGCCTTCACATACAGTCCATAAATATTGGGACATGGACACAACTCTAACATTTTTGGCTCTATACATCACCACAATGGATTTGAAATGAAACGAACAAGATGTGCTTTAACTGCAGACTGTCAGCTTTAATTTGAGGGTATTTACATTCAAATCAGGTGAACGGTGTAGGAATGACAACAGTTTGCATATGTGTCTCCCACTTCTTAAGGGACCAAAAGTAATGGGACAATTGGCTTCTCAGCTGTTCCATGGCCAGGTGTGTGTTATTCCCTCATTATCCCAATTACAATGAGCAGATAAAAGGTCCAGAGTTCATTTCTAGTGTGCTATTTGCATTTGGAATCTGTTGCTGTCAACCCTCAAGATGAGATCCAAAGAGCTGTCACTATCAGTGAAGCCATCATTAGGCTGAAAAAACAAAACAAACCCATCAGAGAGATAGCAAAAACATTAGGCGTGGCCAAAACAACTGTTTGGAACATTCTTAAAAAGAAGGAACGCACCGGTGAGCTCAGCAACACCAAAAGACCCGGAAGACCACGGAAAACAACTGTGGGAGGATGAGCGAAGAATTCTTTCCCTGGTGAAGAAAACACCCCTCACAACAGTTGGCCAGATCAAGAACACCCTCCAGGAGGTAGGTGTATGTGTGTCAAAGTCACCAATCAAGAGAAGACTTCACCAGAGTGAATACAGAGGGTTCACCACAAGATGGAAACCATTGGTGAGCCTCAAACACAGGAAGGCCAGATTAGAGTTTGCCAAACGACATGTAAAAAAGCCTTCACAGTTCTGGAACAACATCCTATGGACAGATGAGACCGACATCAACTTGTACCAGAGTGATGGGAAGAGAAGAGTATGGAGAAGGAACTGCTCATGGTCCTAAGCATACCACCTCATCAGTGATCATGGTGGTGGTAGTGTCATGGCGTGGGCATGTATGGCTGCCAATGGAACTGCTTCTCTTGTATTTATTGATGATGTGACGGCTGACAGAAGCAGCCGGATGAATTGTGAAGTGTTTCGGGAATATTATCGGCTCATATTCAGCCAAATGCTTCACAACTCATTGGACGCTTCACAGTGCAGATGGACAATGACCCAAAGCAGACTGCAAAAGACACCAAAGAAGTGGAATGTTCTGCAATGGCCAATCACCTGACCTGAATCCGATTGAGCATTTCACTTGCTGAAGACAAAACTGAAGGGAAAATGCCCCAAGAACAAGCAGGAACTGAAGACAGTTGCAGTAGAGGCCTGGCAGAGCATCACCAGGGATGAAACCCAGCGTCTGGTGATGTCTATGCGTTCCACACTTCAGGCTGTCATTGACTGCAAAGGATCTGTAACCAAGTATTAAAAAGTGAAAGTTTTGTTTATGATTATTATTCTGTCCCATTACTTTTGGTCCCTTAACAAGTGGGAGGCACATATGCAAACTGTTGTCATTCCTACACCGTTCACCTGATTTGAATGTAAATACCTTCAAATTAAAGCTGACAGTCTGCCGTTAAAGCACATCTTGTTCATTTCATTTCAAATCCATTGTGGTGTATAGAGCCAAAAATGTTAGAATTTTGTCCATGTCCCAATATTTATGGACCTGACTGTATGTGTGTTGCTGAGGCCATAGTTGCCCAGGGTCATAGACATTGTCCACTCTTTGGTGTCCACAGATATCTGTATTGATCAGTCCCTCTTCTCCCCCAGTCCCATGGGCTGTGAGGAAGGTCTTCTGCTTGGCTTTCCATCATTCAAGGTATCAGTGACACCACAATGTGTTCTTTTTTTTCAGAAAGAGTTACAATGCAGAAACAACCTTACCAGGATCCTCCTCCTAATTATGAAGCCATCACGACCACCGCCCCTCCTGAGAGCTACCCAATGTCCTCACACACTGGGGAAAGTGCGCTGGTTAAAGGTGTCCCTCCCGGTCTCCAAAGACTGCTACAGGTGAGACTGTTCCTGGTCATATGTAGAATCGTCCATTATTAGATGTTCGTTCTGTATAAACACAACAAATGGGCGACGAGATACAAACCTCCATATATACTGTATATACTCCTGAAAGCCTGTGTCTGAATAGAATGGCCGAGTGCAAAATGTTTTTAGGCTTTTCTGATGTGTACAGGAGACGTGTAGTGAAGCATGTGTGGATGCATGGCTGCTACGTGTTTCAAGGAGAAGCTCACCTTTGGGAACACGTTACATTTCCACACGATTTTAGGGTGGGACCTGGATCCTATTCCCAATGTTGTAGCCACTAACCCCACCCCTCCCTGTGACAGACGTACCGGGAGAAGATCCCTCGTACTATCTGTCACCTTTTAAACACAGTGCGGCTGTGCGGGGCTCCACCCACATGGCCGTGTCATTCGTTCACTGTGTTCCATGAATGAATGGACCACAATAGCTCACGGCCTCAGAGGCAGTCAGCTTGTAGTTCTCAATGAATTAACTCGGTGCTGTGGAGCTCTATGGTAGCTCATCAAATCTTCCTGTCAATATATTTGCTTTCCCATACATCCCATACACCAAGCAGATATATTGACAGGTCTGCAGGAGATCTGCATGGCACCAGTGATCTACTGATTGCTGGAGCAATGCTTTACAGGCTCCTGCAACCTGAAATAATAAATGCACATCTTTTTACATGCAAGAAATGTGCATTTATTATTTGTGGTCTTTGTTCCTCAGTAGTACCTCTTTGTTAATTTTTCCTTCAGTTATCCTCAGTTGTCCCTCTTTGTTCCCCAGTTGTCCCTCTTTGTTCACTGGTTGTCCCTCTTTGTTCCCCAGTTGTCCCTCTTTGTTCACTGGTTGTCCCTCTTTGTTCGCCGGCTGTCCTTTGTTCCCTGGTTGTCCCTCTTTGTTTCCCAGTTGTCCCTCTTTGTTTGCCGGTTGTCCCTCTTTGTTCCCTGGTTGTCCCTCTGTGATCCCCAGTTGTCCCTCTTTGTTTGCCGGTTGTCCCTCTTTGTTCCCTGGTTGTCCCTCTTTGTTCGCCGGTTGTCCCTCTTTGTTCGCCGGTTTGTCCCTCTTTTTGTTCCCTGGTTGTCCCTTTGTTTGCCGGTTGTCCCTCTTTGTTCCCTGGTTGTCCCTCTTTGTTCGCTGGTTGTCCCTCTTTGTTCGCTGGTTGTCCCTCTTTGTTTTCCAGTTGTCCCTCTTTGTTCGCCGGCTGTCCTTTGTTCCCTGGTTGTCCCTCTTTGTTCCCTGGTTGTCCCTCTTTGTTCGCCGGTTGTCCCTCTTTGTTCCCCAGTTGTCCCACTTTGTTCACCGGCTGTCCCCCTTTGTTCACCGGCTGTCCCTCTTTGTTTGCCAGTTGTCCCTCTTTGTTCTCCGGTTGTCCTTCTTTGTTCACCGGTTGTCCCTCTTTGTTTGCCAGTTGTCTCTCTTTGTTCCCCAGTTGTCCCTCTTTGTTCGCCGGTTGTCCCTCTTTGTTTCCTGGTTGTCCCTCTTTGTTCCCCAGTTGTCCCTCTTTGTTCACCGGCTGTCCCCCTTTGTTCGGCGCCTGTCCCTCTTTTTCAGTTTTTCCTAAGGTTTCCCTCTTTGTTCATCAGATTCCCCTTTCTGCTCCTCCTCGGCTTCCCTTTTCTGCTCCTCCTTCGTTTTCCCTTTCTGCTCCTTAGTTGTCCTGTTTTGTTCGCTGGTTGTTCCTCTTTGTTTGCCGGCTGTCCCTCTTTTTCAGTTTTCCCTAAGGTTTCCCTCTTTGTTCCTCGGCTTCCCCTTTCTGCTCCTCCTCAGCTTCCCCGTTCTGCTCCTCCTCGGCTTCCCCGTTCTGCTCCTTAGGTGTCCCTCTTTTTGATCTGACTCACACCTCCTATAAAATTTCTGCTCCTCCTCGGCTTCCCCTTTCTGCTCCTCCTTGGCTTCCCCTTTCTGCTCCTCCTCGGCTTCCCTTTTCTGCTCCTCCTTGGCTTCCCGTTTCTGCTCCTTAGTTGTCCCTCTTTGTTCATTGGTTGTTCCCCTTTGTTTGCCGACTGTCCCTCTTTTTGAGTTTTCCCTAAGGTTTATCTCTTTGTTCCTCGGCTTCCCCTTTCTGCTCCTCCTCGGCCTCCCCTTTCTGCTCCTCCTCGGCTTCCCCTTTCTGCTCCTCCTCGGCTTCCCCTTTCTGCTCCTCCTTGGCTTCCCCTTTTTGCTCCTCCTCGGCTTCCCCTTTCTGCTCCTCCTCGGCCTCCCCTTTTTGCTCCTCCTCAGCTTCCTGTTTCTGCTCCTTAGTTGTCCCTCTTTTTGATCTGACTCAGACCTCTATAATTATATTATTGAAAGCCTAACGCTGAGCAAAAAAATAAAATATCCCTTTCAGTGTTGGTAATTCTCACACTGCAAGGGTTAATTGCTTCTTTTAGTCTAGGACAGGGGTCACCAAACTATGGCCCTCCAGCTGTTGAAGTACTACAATTCCCAACATGCCTCTGCCTCTGGGAGTCTTGCCTGTGGCTGTCAGAGTCTTGCAAGGCCTCATGGGACTTGCAGTTCCTCAACACCTTGAGGGAGTTTGGAGATCCCTGGTCTAGGGGGTAAAGAAAAGGAATAACCAAGCAAACGTTTTTTTCTTTACATACACTACTAAACAACGTTGGGCATACTGGAAAACAAACCGCTTCTTCACAAAGGTCAAACAAAAAGTCCCAACGTAAATCGATTAACTACTAGGCAAGCAGCAGCAACCTCCAGCACATGTGATCCAAGAGGGAGCGTGTCCTTTACCCAGGCTGTTTACTTGGTTTGTGGAGGCCCTCCTCTGTTTAGAAGGAAGAGCTTGATAAAGAGTTCTTGCAGGAGTTCCCGGAAACCTGAGATGGAACCAACTAGGCAGAGGGAGAGTATAAACTCGAACTACAGGTTCCAGTCCTGGGTGATGTTACTCTGGCTATAATACATTTTTCTTTCTGTGGAATGTCAAGATGTGTATGACAGCATTCCTGTAGAAATACACCTTCCCTCGTCCACCAGTCTTGTCACCATCTTCCAGTGGACACTTCATCATTATCCATGGCTTGATCTGTGTTCTCTGTCATGTTCTACTCACTTTGTCATTCTGAATCTCCTATTTATCATCCCCCAGTTATCTTTCTATCCAGTATTATCTCTGTGTTCTCTCAGTTCTTTGTTCCTTTCATCATCCTCCATCTCTGTGTCCTGTCCTTGGTGGTCCTCTAGAAGAATAACATAGTAACTCTTCTCTTGTCATTTCAGATGAACCAGATCTCCATGCAAGAGAAATGTAAGGATCCCACCAATTACCCTTTGCCATTAATGATAATAATTGCTGATGAACTTTTTTCAGACGTTCTCATTTTTCTCAAAACTGACTTCCCTCTCTTTCAATGAGGGCCATTGTAAAGCTCATCTCCAGGCAAAATTGTTTTTCATACAAGGGGAGAACATGTAGCAACAACCTTTTCCTGTTCAGAAAGTCTGCCTTTAGAGATCTTTGACCTGGAATTTCCTGTCCAGGGGACCAGAGACCTGCACCTGCCCCTCGTGCAGCATGGTGACCGGTCCCATAAATAGTACACTGTAGGTTTTCCCCCGCAGTCCCATTGGCTATGCTGTAATCATGTCAGAGCATCCTCCATAATTAACATTAAGCAATCTTTTGCCCGGCAGGCCCAGCTTCACCCAACGCCTCCCTCCCATACCTTTCTTTTTAGCTCAGCATCCAGTCACAGTGGAACAATACAAAGCTTGGAAGTCACTTCCCAGAGAACCACTTACCAACCCAACAGGTCTGCCCATAGCCCACCCACACATAGCGAGTGTGGCCTGATGGGTCACAGGAAATGTAGTTCTGCAGCATGAGACATTATTGTAGGGAGCGCTGCAGAACCCTCATCACAGGTGACCTGATCATGGAGAATTTTTGGCCAGTGACTAATGATGACACTAGCCATGATAAACAAGGATCGATCTGCCAGGGGATTACTGTGAACAGAAGGAGGAAGGGTGGGGAGCTAGAAGAACCTGGAGATGAGAGCTTTATTATAGAGAAGTAGGACATTTCCCCAGGCCTACCAGGACACAAAACTGCCAGGAGACCTGCAGAGTAATGGGATAGTGAGAGTGTTGGAGGGTGCAGCGGCAGTAATCAGTTCAGTTCAAATAATAAAAGTTGTATTGAAATAATGGCTCAACGATATAAAGAGCCCAATAGAAGGCACACAACTATGGACAATCCTGTTTCTGTGTGGCAAAGCAAGCAGAGCAGGTTCTAATGCACTGACAGCATCTGCCTCAGGAGGTGGAATGTGGCCTGGAGAGTCTGTGCCCAACTTGGGAGAATCCCTTTTAAAGATAACATGTTACTGACCTATCCCCACTCATACAGAACCTTTCTCTACCTCTATTCACTGTCCCTAACAGAAGGGTAACCTGTCCCTACACTAACCACTCACAAAATGCATGCCAAGCCAGGGACTTATATAGACTCTGCCTGACCCAAGATGGCTGCCAAAGGAACTTGGGACAGCAACATCCAACTGGATCGCTTCCCAGTGACCCAGGAATCCATAGAGGAATTTGTTCCTCTTGACTTCCTCTCCTTCTGCAATGTTGCTGTGGTTTGAGCACCTGCAGTGGAGAAAATAGACTGCACCTGCCTAAAGAGCTCATACCTCACCTGGACAGAGGCCTAGCAGGAGGCTTGCAGAGTAATGGTGTGGGGATAGTGAGGTTGTACAAGATATATCCCACCAGGACTCAGACCTACCAGGAGAGTTGGAGAGTAATGGTGTTGGGATAGTGAGGTTGTACAAGATATATCCCACCAGGACTCAGACCTACCAGGAGAGTTGCAGAGTAATGGTGTTGGGATAGTGAGGTTGTACAAGATGTATCCCACCAGGACTCAGACCTACCAGATGAATTGCAGAGTAATGGTGTTGGGATAGTGAGGTTGTACAAGATATATCCCACCAGGACTCAGACCTACCAGGTGAATTGCAGAGCAATGGTGTTGGGATAGTGAGGTTGTACAAGATGTATCCCACCAGGACTCAGACCTACCAGGAGAGTTGCAGAGTAATGGTGTTGGGATAGTGAAGTTTTACAAGATATATCCCACCAGGACTCAGACCTACCAGGAGACTTGCAGAGTAATGGTGTTGGGATAGTGAGATTGTACAAGATATATCCCACCAGGACTCAGATCTACCAGGAGCTTTGAAGGGTAATGGTGCTGGGATAGTGAGGTTGTACAAGATATATTCCACCAGGACTCAGACCTACCAAGTGAATTGCAGAATAATGGTGTTGGGATAGTGAGGTTGTACAAGATATATCCCACCAGGACTCAGACCTACCAGGAGACTTGCAGAATAATGGTGTTGGGATAGTGAGGTTGTACAAGATATATCCCACCAGGACTCAGATCTACCAGGAGAGTTGCAGAGTAATGGTGCTGGGATAGTGAGGTTGTACAAGATATATCCCACCAGGACTCAGACCTACCAAGCGATTTGCAGAATAATGGTGTTGGGATAGTGAGGTTGTACAAGATGTATCCCACCAGGACTCAGATCTACCAGGAGACTTGCAGAATAATGGTGTTGGGATAGTGTGGTTGTACAAGATATATCCCACCAGGACTCAGATCTACCAGGAGACTTGCAGAATAATGGTGTTGGGATAGTGAGGTTGTACAAGATATATCCCACCAGGACTCAGACCTACCAGGAGATTTGCAGAATAATGGTGTTGGGATAGTGAGGTTGTACAAGATATATCCCACCAGGACTCAGACCTACCAAGAGATTTGCAGAATAATGGTGTTGGGATAGTGAGGTTGTACAAGATATATCCCACCAGGACTCAGATCTACCAGGAGACTTGCAGAATAATGGTGTTGGGATAGTGAGGTTGTACAAGATATATCCCACCAGGACTCAGACCTACCAAGAGATTTGAAGGGTAAAGGGGTTGGGATAGTGAGAATGTATACAAGCTCATATCTTACTGGGAAAGAGACTTACCAGGACACTTGCAGAGGGATTACATTGGGATAGTAAAGTTGTGTAAGTTATAACATATCACTAGGTCCGAGAACTACCAATGCAAAATAATGAAGTTTGGGATAGTGAGGTTGTAGGCAGGTGTAGTTAGGCCTCCCTGCACAGGTGGTGCTGTTTTCCAGCTGCCATGCAGAGAGGACAGAAGACAGGAGGAACTTTTGTTTTTCTGAGGACTCCGTAGGCCTCATCAGGAGAGAAGCTGTCTGACTGGATGCTGCTGCAATGGATGACCTTGGTGGCCATCTTTAGTGTGGGCAGTGCCAATAAATAGCACTGTCCCACTGCAGTTGGCGTGAATTTGTGAAGTGGCTAGGTCAGGGACATGATCCCGCTGGTTAGGTAATGAGTGTTTAGCATAGGGAAAGGTTCCAGTGGAGTAGGGACTGCATGTCTGAGCCGCAGATAGGAACTCTCCTGCCTTCATGTGCCTTCTTGCCAGGCAGAGTTTGTCTGGCCACATTCTTCATCAGATGGTGCCAGGCCATTTAGAGTACCTTCTATAATATTGAGTCTGTGTTTTGCAACACCTTCTAGTAGTGAGGTTGCATACGATTTTATATCTCACCAGAACGGAGATCTACCAGGAGACTTGCAGAGTAATGGGGATGGGGTAGTGAGGTTGTATAGGATTTCTTGTCTCACGAGGACAGAAGACTGCCAGGAGCTTTCAAGAGCAATGGCTTTAGGATAGTGAGGTTATATAAGATCTCATGTCTCTCAAGGAGAAAGAACTACCAGGAGACTTGCATAGTAATGGGGTTGGGATAGTGAAATTGTGTAGGACCTCATGTCTCACCAGGACAGAGACCTACCATAAGACTTGCAGAGATGTAGGGTGGGATAATGAAGTTGGATAAGATATCTTACCAGGACAGAGACCTACCAGGAGACCTGCAGAATAATGATGGTGGACAAGTGAGGTCATAAAAGATCTCATATCCCACAAGGGTAGAGAACTACCAATAGACTTGGTTGTAGAGGATCCCAAATCTCACCAGGACAGAGACCTACCAGGAGACTTGCAGAATAATGATGGTGGACAAGTGAGGTCGTAAAAGATCTCATATCCCACAAGGGTAGAGAACTACCAATAGACTTGGTTGTAGAGGATCCCAAATCTCACCAGGACAGAGACCTACCAGGAGACTTGCAGAATAATGATGGTGGACAAGTGAGGTCGTAAAAGATCTCATATCCCACAAGGGTAGAGAACTACCAATAGACTTGGTTGTAGAGGATCCCAAATCTCACCAGGACAGAGACCTACCAGGAGACTTGCAGAATAATGATGGTGGACAAGTGAGGTTGTAAAAGATCTCATATCCCACCAGGACAGAGAACTACCAATAGACTTGGTTATAGAGGATCCCAAATCTCACCAGGACAGAGACCTACCAGGAGACTTGCAGAATAATGATGGTGGACAAGTGAGGTTGTAAAAGATCTCATATCCCACCAGGATAGAGAACTACCAATAGACTTGGTTGTAGAGGATCCCAAGTCTCACCAGGACAGAGACCTACCAGGAGACTTGCAGAATAATGATGGTGGACAAGTGAGGTCGTAAAAGATCTCATATCCCACAAGGGTAGAGAACTACCAATAGACTTGGTTATAGAGGATCCCAAATCTCACCAGGACAGAGACCTACCAGGAGACTTGCAGAATAATGATGGTGGACAAGTGAGGTCGTAAAAGATCTCATATCCCACAAGGGTAGAGAACTACCAATAGACTTGGTTGTAGAGGATCCCAAATCTCACCAGGACAGAGACCTACCAGGAGACTTGCAGAATAATGATGGTGGACAAGTGAGGTCGTAAAAGATCTCATATCCCACAAGGGTAGAGAACTACCAATAGACTTGGTTGTAGAGGATCCCAAATCTCACCAGGACAGAGACCTACCAGGAGACTTGCAGAATAATGATGGTGGACAAGTGAGGTCGTAAAAGATCTCATATCCCACAAGGGTAGAGAACTACCAATAGACTTGGTTGTAGAGGATCCCAAATCTCACCAGGACAGAGACCTACCAGGAGACTTGCAGAATAATGATGGTGGACAAGTGAGGTCGTAAAAGATCTCATATCCCACCAGGACAGAGAACTACCAATAGCCTTGGTTATAGAGGATCCCAAATCTCACCAGGACAGAGACCTACCAGGAGACTTGCAGAATAATGATGGTGGACAAGTGAGGTCGTAAAAGATCTC